GTCTCTCCCAAGATGGTGGCTCCAGGAGCAGCTGAGCATCCTGGATTAGAAAGTGATGGATTTCTTGCTTCTGCTACAAATTCCCCTAGCTGTAAGCCTTCCAACCTTCTCAATATTCCTTTATATGGGGTTCAGAGTTCTGGCACCATCTCCTGAACCTTCTTGGTCTGGCATTCTGTGTTGTTTCTGATGCAGCTCCTCACTGCATTTCTAACCAATCCACCATCTTGTTTGCTTTCTTTGTTTCCAATCTTTGCATTACAATGTTTGATCAATACCAGACTAAAGAGGTTTGTAGCCTTTTATATTTCATCATTACTGAGTTTAGTGTTTGGTGTGTAAATTTGAATAATAGTGGTATCAGACAGTCTTCCTTCTAGGCATATGGATATTATCCTATTACAGACAGCATTGCTCTTTAAGATAGATCTTGAAATATTTTCACAGATGACAAATACTATGCCATTTCTCTTGAATTTGTCATTTGCAACATAGGAAACCATTTGATTGTCAGATTCAAAATGGTTCATTAATGCCTAGGGTATAGATGTTTATACGTTCCATTTCATTTTTGACAATTTCCAGTTTTCCTAGATTCATAGTTCATGCATTCTGTGTTCCAATTATTAATGAGCGTTTGTAGCTGTTTCTCATGTTTTGTTGTGCCCCATCAGCCATTTAAGGCCCTGAGAGCTTTACTCCATTTGCCCCATCATGATTAGCTCTACTTTGTGGAGGCATCGCTTCCACAGTCTTATTTTAAGTGCCTTTCAACATGAAAGGCTCGTCTTCTGTCACTCTTATCTGACATTGTTCTGCTGTTATGTATCTTCTGACACCATATCTGACAGTGGTCCTCTGCTATACATAGGCTTTCAGTGGGAAAACATTCAGAAATATTAATGCCTCTCCTACTTCCTAGTCTGTCTTAGTCTGGACACTGAAGCCTGTTCACCATGAGTGACCCTGCTGGTGTTTAAAATACTGGTGGCATAACTTACAGCATTGCAACAACATACTAGCCAACATAGTGTTACAAACTGACAAATGAGCAGTGGCATATCTAGCATGTTTAAATTTTAGGCATATTTAATGTCTACCATGTGAGAAGTTAGAAGAAATTCTAGAGAAAGAGAGCAAAGATAAATTAACTGTGAGGTAAACATCATTATTGAAATATTACTGTACATAATCATCAATCTAAATTTAAAATAGCCTTTAAAAAGCTGGGATTAGATAAGTAATCAAGAATCATCTGATATTTGGCCTTATTTCCTTTTATGACAGCATGGCATAGTTTATTATGGATGATAAAAATATGAGCTTTTCTTGTAAATGTAAATGAAGCTTGACCAATATTGATTTAAAAGTGGCATTTCTCTTGAGTTTTTAAATTGTATTTTATGTTTTGTATTATTCGGTAAGAAAGACATTCATTAAAAATAAAAATATTGAAGAAAATTTAGTCCTTGTCAAATAAAAATCAAGGCTGATAGTGATCATTTAAAAATGTTGAAAAAATAGTTTACTGGAATATATTGTCAAATAATAACTGGAAACATATTGGCTCCACTCAAAGATAAAATTATTTGACAAGCTTGTAAACCTTTTTACAACTCTTAACACTCTGCAGTAAGGGTTTTATTTCTTTTCTTATCCCCTCTCCCACCCAATTTTTTAAAAAGGTAATTTTGAAACAAACAAAAAAACAAACTAATTGAGGGGACATAACAATTTTCAAGAGACAGACAAAAAACTTCTTAATCATGAAATTGCTATAAAATTCTAAATAGAGTGAAGGCAGACATGTACAAGGTAAACTTAAGATACCTAGCTTCTTATTCTACTTTAATAAGATTTAACATAAAATACTACTAATAAATGAAGAGCCAATTTTATTTATTTATTTATTTATTTATTTATTCTTAAATCTAGGTATCTTCAACGAACAGTAAAACATCCAACTTTACTACAAGATCCTGATTTAAGGCAGTTCTTGGAAAGTTCTGAGGTATCATTTTGTCTGAAATTTTTGTATATAAATTTTCATTATTTTCAGTGTAATAATTTGTATAAGAATAGGTATTCAGGAAATAAAAATGGATGAAATAAAACTTTTTTAAAAAACACATCGAACTTAATGACTAACTAGCAAAGTTTCTTTGTATTGATAATTCTAGATTGCTATGTCTTTCTTGAACAATTAAAAGACTGTTTAAGAGAATACTTTTTAAGTAGTCTAATTTTAGATTTCCTAAGTGGTTGCTTAGGCATTGAACTAAATTATTCAGATCTCATTTTTGAAATAATTAGTTCCATGTTTTTGTGTTTACGTTCTAATGTTCTTAACTTTTGTGACTTAAAAGAGCTTAAATTATGACAGCACTGCACATTTTATTTGAGACATTTGGCACATTTGTATTTCAGATTGGTATGGTTTAATGTGTGGTTTTTTTGTGTGTTTTTTTTTGAGTCTTGGAATTTTTTAAATACTCAGAACCATGTAAACCTAATAGCATAAGGAGATTTTTCTTGAGACTCTTTCTTTCCTTATAAACAGTTTATTTCTGCTAGCAAACAGGTGGCAAGTGTTACGATGCTTGACAATTTCTTAATATATTTTGACAAACAGAGTGTTTGTTCCATCTAAATGTAAACGTGCAGAAGAGAAGCAAATGGAAAGTCTATTTTTTAAGTTTTCCTTTGAGAATGTGCAAGTAGTGTTATTTGAGAAATTAGGTCCCACTATTGAAATGTACGAGAGTGAAGAAAATACAACCTCCTTTTCTTTTTGTTTAGTTTTGTTGGTTTTGTTTTTTTTTTTTCTGGGTAGAAGGGTCCCTTTTGTGCCCAGTTAAACCTCCAAGCTTTTAACCGGTTTGTTTGCCCTTATTTGTCATTCAATTCCAGCTGCCTAGAGCAGTTAATACACAGGCTCTGAGTGGAGCCGGAATATTGAGGATGGTGAACAAGGCTGCCGACGCTGTCAACAAAATGACAATCAAGATGAATGAATCGGATGCTGTAAGAGCTGATTTTTCGACTTGAATAATGAGACGAATTAATGAGCCCAACAATTGCATTTTAAAGCTGTACAAGTAGAAAATAGGATATTAATTTGCTTATTGAGTTTAGTTCTCAGCCATATCAGTTGGCTTCAATGGTTATACATGGTTAATTTGTTGTTTTAAAACAAGGAATGTAGCTTGCTATTGGTAACCTAATTTACAGTGGTTTGTTCTTGCTAAATTAGCTCCATTTTTCATTTTTTTTCTTAGTGGTTTGAAGAAAAGCAGCAACAATTTGAGAATCTGGATCAGCAACTTAGGAAACTTCATGCCAGTGTTGAAGCCTTGGTCTGTCACAGAAAAGGTTTGTTTGCCTTGTTATTTAAGTAGTATTAAAATTACATTCTGAGGTTTTAAAACAATAGCTTAAGAAATGGTTTTTCTTTTTCAGATTTGTTGTTTAAATTTTTTTGTTCTATTTTTACCTAGCTTCAGATTCAAAAACAGAAAAATCCTGAGCTTATAAAAATATATCTTGAACTTTGAAAATGAACTGTTTTTTACTTGATTAACTCTTATGTTACATGTATTTACATTTAATGAATGAAGATGTCTTACTAGTAATTTTGCTACTAATTAGAAATTGAGGTTTTAAAATTGATTTTGAAAATTTTGTTGAAAATACTCATTTGTGTGTGCTTATAATTCATGGAAAATCCTCTGAAGTTTTTTTGTTTTTTTGTTTTTTTTCAACTTGGAAATGTTAGTCTGGATTTGTTTAAGCTCATAAATTTTGAGTTGTAATATTACTAAACCACAGTAATTTTGTTCTTTTCTCTTTTTTTCTCCCCAAAGAATACAAGTTAGGTATCGAATGTCTGCTCTTTAATTTTTAATAAATAATTTGGTATGGCTATTTATATTACCACATACATTTTAAAAATATTTCACGTTATATTTATATTATGGCTAATAAAATTACAGTGCATTTTATTAAGGTAATTACAGAAACCTGCTAATGTAATCCATTTACTACTAAAAATAATTTAATGTATATTAAATCTCTTAGGGAATGTAAAACAATTCCCAGGCAATATAGTTCATCATTAACAGTAGCTAACACATAAACATGTATTTTTTCTTCAAATGATCTGAAATAATTGTGTCTAAAAATGGTTTTAGAAATTCTGATACTCTAGTGAGTATTATTGTACAATAAAGAAAAAATATTTGTTTGAATTGTATATACAATTTTACCTTTCTTTTTTCTCTTGTTAGCTAAATAAAATTGTCATTAAATACTACAGATATGATCTTTATTGACAGATGTTTAAAGGTTACAGTATGTGGTCTAAAGTAATTGTGAGTGTTCTGAATGCTTTCTATAGTTAAAAATACATTTCTTGTCTTTCTTATGAATAGATATTGAAAGGAGTGGACACTTTGAAAGAGAAATAGGAGACAGATTGTATTCAAAAATATTTAAATACAGTTCTGTCCTGGGTAAATAGATAGTGACTGATTCTTCATAATATTTGGTAGATCTCTTGGGTCCTAATAGTTTATGCCCAAGGCAGAATGTCTAACTGTTTCATGTTAATTATTTTGATGTATTGTATGACCAGTTTGTGAATTGATAAAATTATGAGAAAAAGTAGAAACATCAATGCTTTTTTTTTAACTTTACTAAACAATACTAAAAATGAATACATTTTTCATTTCAGAACTTTCAGTCAACACAGCTGCCTTTGCTAAAAGTGCTGCCATGTTAGGTAATTCTGAAGATCATACTGCTTTATCTAGAGCTTTGTCACAACTTGCTGAGGTTGAGGAGAAGATAGATCAGTTACATCAAGAACAAGCTTTTGCTGACTTCTATATGTTTTCAGAACTACTTAGTGACTACATTCGTCTTATTGCTGCAGTGAAAGTAAGCCCTGTGTTGCATTCTTCTTCTCACTACAGTGGTTTGCATTAGAAAGAATTTGGTTCATGTATTTTAAGTGTATAAAGTCCATACTATTCCACTACATATAAAATGGCCTCAAGATGAATTGTAGTGTACTATTTCTTCTCCTTCTACTTGTAAAGTAAAACATACAGAATTTGTGTTTTAAGATACCTCAAGAATGCCACATAAGATAAAAATATTACATTTATTTATATTTGCATATAAAAGTTTATATTTGTTCACTTATGCCAGCACAAATTGAAACTACCCACTGGACTGTGTTGTCAGTAATAATGCTGGCTTTGTAGCAAAAAGTAGGACAAAACCAGAGCCGATTTTTATAGTGATTATGTTTAGTGTGAATTTGGACTATAATCAAACATTCTGTGTATGTACCATGTATTTATAGATTAGATGGGGTTAGAATAGATTATAAATTTTGTTTTCTAATGCTAGTGTTTAACTCCAAACAGTCTTCAATTTTTGAATAGTCGAGAAAAAGTAATTCTGTTAACTAATGAAAATTTGAATTCTATAGAAACCTCCAATATTCAGAAAGTTAAACTGAAGTAAGTATATTTAATCTGTCATGTTTCAGAATATTTCTTAAGGTATTACAGTGTCGTCAAATAATTTTTATGAAGTTTTTTTTCAAATAACTAATTATGAAGTTTTGAGAAACCTCAATATTTAACCTTATATCTTGAATTCAAGCATCTAGAAAGTATTCATCTATAATTAGAACATTGTTACAGTGCAGACTCATTGATGATTTGGTCTTGTGCTAATGGTAACAGTTACTACTCAAGAGTGATTCTTCCTTATGTTCAATAAATTTACCAAATTTTTTTTGTACATATTCTTATATCTTTGATGATTAGTATTTCTTGTTATTTAAAGATTGTAATGAAGATAGCAGCTAGCAAAGTATATCTCATGTATAGGCAACTTGTGATACCTAGAATTCCAGTTTACAGATAATAATTCCTATATCTCCTTGCACTTACCACATTTCAGAGTTCCCACTAAATTAACGGTTGTCTTGAAAAAGTTGAAAACTTTCAAAAAGCCCGTAGGTTTAAAAAGGGAAGCGAAGAATTATGATGAAGTATATCTGCTGAGAAATGTTAACCTGGGAAAAAATTCCCTGGCAGATAGTTTGCCTGTATAAGGAATGTGGGTCCCTCAAAAACATGTGGGTCCCTTCTCTCATATTGTCCAATTTTTTTTCAAAATACATTGGCTGGTATTACAGTCATATATCGCTGTTTCTTAAAATGTTCTTTCTCTATAGGACATTGACACCAGAAGAGGTACCACAGGCAACTAAGTTTGGGAAACACTGTATCTCTCCTGGAGATTCACTATGCTCAGAACTGTCTTAAGCATTTTTTTTAAAAAAAAAAGGAATCCCAAATTCGTATGAACAGGAATCCTTTTCAATTATTGTCTGTTTACATTTATGGAACACAATTTGGAAAATGCTGAATTTGTGATTTATTGATTAAAAGAGTAGGATTAAAGT